CCGTTGTTTGTGCTTTGTTGGCGGACTGGGCCTTGTGTTGATGCGTTGTTCTCACTGTCCCCAGTAATGAATGTAGCCAGACGAGTCAACAAGAACCATGGGCATCGCAAGTCAACAAAGGTTAACGTTAACCCACTTACCCACAACCTCACAGTCCCTTTCCCATCATCTCCCAAAACAGCCTGACCACCATGCTCACCCACATCTAGACACAATCTTCCAATTTCCATGGTTCCAAATGAGGGGGACCTGAGTGCAGAGAGTGGGCGCTCATCCACCAACACTTGTGGCGGAGGCTTCTTGAGATGACTTTAGATGCTTTGCTGCAGAAGCATCTTGTTCTAGCGAGTTCTAACCCTAAACAAACTTCCCCTTCATGTGGCTGTGCCATGCTTATAGCTTGTAGTTTTTTCTCTCGGAAAAAAACCTGTCAGCTCTTGCCCTGTACACCCTCAAGTTGTCTTGGCGATCTAGGCAGACATTTCACATTTCTAACTGTCCACCTTGGCAATCGTTGGGATATTTTACAAGTGGTATGCAACATACACTTAATTTTACCCTTGCTGTGGCCTAAAAAATGTAAAAAGCAACCATTGTTCCTTCTTCCTTAAAAATGGTGCCGTTGTTCAGGTACCGTTATCGGTGAATGAAACCTCTTTTATTGCCAGGTCCATAACAAACCCCAAAGAAGCACAAACTGTGATCTTTACAGTGTTAAATATTTCAATCACGTTCGTTTCTTTGGATGCTGTATGAGAAAATATAAAGGCGTTCATTACAGTGAGTGAAAACATTCCAGAAACAAAAGGTCTGTCAGAAAGACCATTAATTTAGCCTATAACAATGGCAACACAATGGTTCATTTAGTTTCCCAGGCCTGACATCTTTTTGGCTTTTTGAGGAGGCTTTTTTCTGTGGTGTGACATTACAAAAGCTGCATGTTAAGTCACTTAAAGTGAAAATAAAAGTTAGAGATATAGTCGATAATTCATCTCAAGATATACATTCTCTAGTTTGTCTAGTTTAGTCTTTACCAATAGTAATATTACATTTTGATGTTGATGCTTGATGTGTTCTTTAGGGTTACTAAAAAACTAAATCAATGAATGTAGTAGGAGTAAAAATGTACTCAATACTCGTATTTACATCCACTGATGGCCACTGAGGAATACTATTAATTTACTATAATTAATCTGTTGTGATAATAATAAATAATAATGCAGAATTAAAATGTTCGTTTAATGCTTTCCATACAGGCAGAGCTAATGAGCACTTCACATATGGAGTTAAATGTGTTTCAGCCTAACCATATTTTTCATCTTCAGCAGGGGTTGGTTTTTTTCAATCTTACACACCCAACACCTAGCAGTAAAAGGTGTGGTATTTCGTGTCTTTCACACCCGAACACAAACACCCATTTAAAGCACTTCACAAACAGCTCCATTATGTCTGCTGATTTTACATTTAAGAAATGTACATCCATGTGTGTCACTGCAGGAAGCTTTGCAGCAGGTCACAAAAGCGTCCAGTCTCAAAATCAGCCAATATTAACCACGTTGTTTGGAGCTTCTCAAGGAATCAATTGTGCCCAGATAGTCCTCTCTTTTTTTGCACTAGTGTTGCTGAACTCATCATAAACGTCCACACGCCCTGACCAACCAACAAGGAAATTGTGTTACCTCCAACTGCACATCGTTCAAAAAAGAAAAAGAAAAAAACCTCCCAAACAAATAGCATAGCACCCCGAGCTGCAGTTTCTGGCAGGAACATAACAAAAAAGACATGATAGATAACTCAGAAGCTAGAGCAGGGACGGCAAAGGGTTTATGTTTTTAAGCCTTAGGCCGAACAGTACAGAGTCAGGCAATGATCCACTTTGTCTGCCTAGCTTTAACTATTTCTACTGTGTCTGTGTTTCACACATACCGTATAACATCGAATAATCAGATAGTGTACCAGTAGAATAGCACTTCCTTGCACTAATTAACCACATTATCGTTAATCTTCTTTCAGACATTATGTAGGAAAACATGAGCCACGAAGCCTCTAGCACTGCACAGTAGATCACAGTTACGTTTTTAGAATCCGATCACTCACACCCACATCCTCGTCTCCTTCATCCCTCTTCTAGTACTTGTAGACGCTATTCAGTGCCGTGCGTAGCATGTGGAATCCTTCTGCACGTCTTCTCTGCCCTTGCTATTGTCAGGTTTTCCTCTAATCGTTTGACAGGTCTAGGACGATAAAAGTCAACTATTCCCAAACACAGTTTGAAAATGTGTGAAAAAGTTTGATCACTGGTTTCTGCCCATGCGTGCATATTGTGTGTGTATATGTTTGGAGAGGGGGGTGAGGAGAAGGGGCCAAGGTTGTAAGCATGAAGCACACTACTGCCTGTTCACCTGCATGAAGGTGTTGGGAACATGCTTTTGTTTCAGGGCAGAGTTGTCAGTGACTGTGATCCCCCCCCCCCTCCCCCTTCTTTTCCTTTCTTATTGTCTTTCTGCCTCTCTCTCTCGTCACCCCCTCCTTGTCTTCTCCCTCCCCATATCATCCCACCACAGAGGGAAAAGCGATGGAGCATTTCGTCTGCGGAGGTGAAAAGAACTCGTCGAGTGTAAGTTAGAGGGTTTTACTGGCCGAGAGAGCAGGGCGCAGAAAGAGAGGGATGAGATGGGGCTTGGGGCAAGGGGCATTGGAGGGAATGGAGGCAAGCAGGATGGCTCGAAAGGAAGCATGGATAGACACGAAGTAGCCAGCACAATCGCGTGTTAGCCTGGTCTCCCTGGGATAAAGTTGGGCTTAACTGCAGCATTTACCCACAACTCCTGCATTACAAAATGTTCGTTCGCCAGCCATTTAGCATGCAATGGCTCCCAGGATTATGCCTTTTGTATTATTTTACCAACTGTCAGGCTGTGACGCATGGAGAATGACTAATCAGGCAGGATATTGCCCTCTAGCGCACTGGCGCGATCATCACACTGCAACGGGGGGTGGGACGGGGGGGGGTTGTTACTGCAAGATCAACTGACCTGGTTTGTTTGTCTGTCTCTGTTGAAGAGTTAGACAGGGATTGAGAGTTTGAATAGCTCAACAGAGAATAACGTGAGCTATCTTGTAAATAGTTGGGCAAAAAAACCAGGTGGGATTGTGGCAAAGGAGATGAGTAGTATGGTATTGCTTAGGATGTAGCGGGAGAGCCATATTACAGTCTAGTGCTCTCTGGAATGGTGATTAGTAGGGCCGTGAACGATATATTGTGTCATGGCGATAACCGCGATATGCGCATCGCGATTATTCCATCGCAGGGACGTGCTGGTTTATTACTTTTTTATAATTAAATTTTTTTTTTTTCTTTTTTTTATAGACGTGCTGATATTAAGTAGTACATTAACTCAAACACGTCATGTTATAATTATGTTGCTATCTGCTACATGAAACGTGCACTGGCTCTCATGTCAGGGGTACTTGAGTTGAGTTGACATGCAGGCTCTGCATGCCACAGCAAACCACCAATCACAATCATTCTTGATCAGATCACAGCAGGCCCCGCCCGCTAGTTTGTAGACCATCAAAACCCGGTAAAAAATGAGCGAG